GTGGACTCACAGGATTCGCCCACCTCCCCCTTCAAAACCCTTCATGCCAGCAATCTCCAGAGCTGGTTTGCAAGTCCACAACCTGAGCACTGAGTCCCAGGCGAGGCGAAGCAAAACGGCTTTCCACACCTTCTCTAATGCGTTCCAGATTATGCCAAGGCCGACCTTACCGGCAGGAAGTCTCAAAGGGAGCACTTTCATTGGCGACCAGCTTCGTGTGGCTGCAGGCAGTCTCGGGGAAGACGGGACCACTGTCCATGTGGGCATGGTAGTGTCCTCCTTGGTCGTACCGCACAACCTGGAGGGGCTCGCTGTGCTCCACAATCTCGGGGGGCAAGCGAGTCAGGCGCATTACCCTGGGGAAGAGGGGAGCACAGCAGGTGAGCGGAAAGCACCATCACCGCAGTTGGCCACTACTCCCAAGCAGTGAATAAATCCAGAGAAAGATAACCCCCTTCCCCAACAGACCGGAGAGACAGATGGGCTGCAGCAAGCATTCCAAGAGATAACTAGGTCCTTGCAGATCTGCTGGACCATCAGCATCAGCTCGGAAAGTCCTCATCAAGGTTAATAAAAAAAAAAAAACAAAACCAAAAGGTGCATCTCCAGCAGGACTGCTCTCAGGAAGACTTTGCTGGCTCAGCAAGATCCCTTCTGTGTGTGTCCCTGGAGCCTTCATGTGCCATCTCATCGCTTCTCTGGACTCCTGCACACCACCTACAGACCTCGGGGACAGTTAGCAAAGCACAGGGCCTCTGCTGAGAGTGAATGAGAGACTAACTCTAGGAATATTCTTGTCACCTAACTCACCTTTCCCTGTTGCCTTTTCAGCAGCCTCCCCCCAGGGCAGAGGGGCACTGGAAGTGATCAAGGAGACCGGAGCCCTCCTGCTCTGGGATTTTTCCGCTGCTACATCTGAGATCATCCCCAAGGCAAGCAGGTACGTCTTGAGACCTGCCAAAGAACACTCAGAGCTCTGAGAATCCAGACTTGTGAAGCCCTCGGGGCAGGCGCAAGGGGAACGCAGCACCCGGGCAGGATGGCAAAGCCCCTCCAGGCACCGCATGGTCCCAGGGAGGACTAACAGCCTCCTTCAGCGCTGTCTTCACGCCCTTGTAACAGTGGCCAACTGAAGAGTGTACAAGCAGTATGCTGATGCCTGTGTGTGCTGGCGAGCTGGCATGGAGAAGGTGGCAGCCATAGTCTGCTCTAATCAAGGCAATATGCAACCCCATTCTACCGCTGGAATGTGCTGAAGAAAAGGAGTGGCCAACAGCCGTTTTCAAGCCTCGGGACAGATTTTACCCACCCATGTTCTGGGCGAGGACCAGCACCACAAGAACAAGAGTCTCCAGCCAATTATCTGAAACTCACCACGGCTAAATGATTTGGCCTGCGTGCTTGGTTTTAATGCTTCCCAGTATCAAATCTGAGATGAAGGGAAAGGTAAGATGCTCCCCTGTATGCTGTGAGCTGCCCTGTGATATGTATGCTCGGAGGGTTAAACTAACTGGGCTTACTTGAGGTGAAGTTGTGCTTGTTAAAAAGTCAGCTCTGAACAGCTAAGACAGATTTCAGTGAAATGCATGAGTAACTAAAGCAAATGACAGTAACTGCTGGCACCCAGACAGCATTGGAAACAGGCAGTTTCTCCCAGTAAGCTCATTTACTAATTAGAATGAATTATTTCATATAATGCCAAGTCTTCTTGGTTTTATAGGGCTGTTCCCAAAAGTGAATGGAGACGCTGAAAGGTTTGATTTTTCTTTTTCCTTTTCCACGGGACAATACAAATTCTTGTTCTAATGAAAACCTCCTCTCCTCATCTCGTGTCTGTGTTCATTGCTCTTTATACTCCAAATACTTTCACGCAATTAGGAAGTGTGAATATTAGCAAGTCTGCCACTGCCTCTCCCAGCACAGGTGGTCCTCGTGCCTACACAAACCCAATTGCCCCTGCGGCTGCCTGGCCCTTACCTTTGCCGTATGGCTCTCATGACCTGGTGTGCCCCCTCGCCCTGGTACAGCCAGGTGTGCTGGCTGTTGCGCACCAAGTCACTCATCTTCACTTTCTGGCTTCCCATGTACTTGTGGAAATCACGGATATTCAATTGTTTGAACTCCTCCAAACTCAGCACACCTACGGGAAGAGAGGAAAAGCTGGCTGACTCTGGTGCAGGTAACAGTTCTTGGCGTCCTGTACTCGGCAAAACCACCAGCTGAAGGCACTGCAGAAATTGCGTTCCTCAAACAAACCCCATTCAGAGTCCACCTCTATGCCCACCGTGGGCTGCACCCCATGGGTTACAGACTCCAACAATGCTCTTGCCTTTAGCAGAGGGCATACAGCGACCCGCAAAAGTGAACCATTAGCTGCTGTGCAGGGTCAGAACTGAGACAGGCAAAATACCAATACGAACTTAAAAAAGCTCCTAAACTACACAAACCAATCCATCTAAAGAGAGAAATAGCCACTACAGTTCTAAGATATGCAATGCCGCAGCTAAAAAGCCTACGCCACCTGATGCCTTGGGGCTTGTTACTTAAGATATTTAAATAGACATGTTTAAGAGCAGAGTGGGACACCTCAGACTGCATTTTCTACAAGATCTTGCATGATAATTTAAAAAAGCCAAACCCAAAACAAGCAGTACATTCTTCTGCATTTGTGTAATTGCAAAAACATGAGCAAGAAATACAACAGAGCACGATCTTGCGTAAGTAGAAATAACAGAAAAGTGAGAGGTAAAAAGTCGTTTCTACTAAACCAGGTATTTCTTGTTTGCCCTCAACTGGACCTGGCAAGGGATGGACTTTTGCCTTTGTCGACTTTAGAAAAATCCTCACATTTGTGGTTTCCCCTTTCAGGAGAAGAAGGGAAGCCCTGCACTGAGGATCAGTCCCAGGGACCCGAGCATGCAGAGCGCTGCAGCGTTGCTGCCCAGCAGCCAGCACGCGTTGTGGGCTGCGAGTGGAGCTCGCTCAGGCAGCAAACCCAGCACTGCTGTGGTGCCAGCTCCGCTCCCCAGGCACACAGCACCCTCCGGCAGGAGGAAGGACCAGCCATCGGGGTCAGCCTGGGACAGTTCCTCAGGTGCCAGTGGTCGTGACCAAATTATCCACACCATTATTATTTCTAGTGTCTCCCTGTCCCCACTTCCCCTTACTCCATGCTGTCTTTGATGATGCAGTGCCACATCCAGGTTGTGACCTGGTCTCTTGCTGTCACGTACCAATCTAACAACGGAGGGAAGCAGCTCTGTGGAAGCAAGGTCCTGCCAAGAGCACTTTAACAGGACCTTTCATTTGTTAATGTCCGGAACAGTGGAAAAGCCACTGAGGACTCAGTCATACGCTCCCACCCCTGCCAAGAATGCCACCGGCCGGGAGGAGTCGGGCATGGGGTACCCTCCGGATATTTAGGCATTCACACGGGTACTGCTTCAACTCCAAGCCAGCTCCTCCCGGGCAGCTCTCAACGCCAACGCCAGGTCACTGGAAGAGAGCATGCAGGGCCTGTTCGTTCACTTAATTTGATTAGGAAATGGAGAGTTGCTTAATTGAGGCCACTCTAATTAGAGCAGCAGAGGTTAGAGTGCATGTCCGGACCAGCAGGAGCCCTTGGGAGACTGGGGGCAGGAGGGGCAGAAGTGGCCTCATGGAATACAGAGAGTTTGCAGCGGCAGAGAGGGGGGGTCAGCCACAAAGGCTGACCAACAAGACCACCCTCACCTCCACTTATTCTGCCCTCCTCTGTCAGTGATGTGGTGCTCCCAGCCCGCTGCAGAAGTCTCCCTGAAAACAGAGGGGGGGGAGCGGAGGGTGCACCTTAAAACCTGCAGCCCAAGTAACAAGAGCTATGTAGCCAGAGCAGTCTCTCAGACCACAGGAGCAGAAGCGCACCCTGAAGGTCCTGTTACAGCAGCACATGAACCTCTGACAGGGGAGAGGGAATGCAGAGTTGTGTTCTGATCCTGCTTCTGCAAGATCCAAGCCCAGCCGGTGGAACTACTCTGCCACTAGACTGGTGATGAAGGGGCAGGGCTGCTGCAATGAGAGGTTTACGCTGATTTTACTTTCCTGCCAAGGTCTCTAAAGCAGTGTTATTTTCCTTTCAAGAACACATATGGAGAGACAGGCTTGGGCACGGACACGGTTCTTGCTCTGCCCCACATGGCTGTGCCAGGCATCCAGTGTGCGGAGCGCGAAGGGATTCCCATGGAGCCGCTCTTACCATTCCCATCAGGATCAGCCTTGACTGCAGTGTACATCTCCCGGATGTTTTCAGGGGTCATCCACCTGCCGTTTCCAAGCCGAGTGTGGGTCAACACCTGAAATTAATAAATGGATCAACACCGGGCACTGGTTTCTTATACTAACAAAACCCTACAGATTCCCTGCTTGAGGCCTGGCAGGCTCCCTTCTGCAGTGCATTGGCCAGCCAGGCATCAGCACATCTCTGCAGAAAGAAGATTGCACTGAGAATCATCTGGCAGCCACACACAGTGTGTGGCTTATGAGTGCTGTTATTTCCAGTTTAGGGCATGGCAAATGACTGCTGGGACTCAGTTAACCAGTTCTGAGGTGGAGGGGGCACAGCTCTTTCTCTTGAAGGGAAAGTAAAGCTATTGATGATAAAAATGAATGCTTTTACTTGTCCAAGATAAGGGCTTGGAATGAAATGCTTCCTTTCCACGTGGACAGAGAGATGCAGTATCCTGGAGAGCTCTCAGCAGGCTCTGACCTCCAGAGAAAGGAGCCTTGCCCTGGGTTGTCACTGATGCAGTTCCCCACACTCCACAACGCTTGCTGCCCACCAGACAGCACACCCCCCCAGCCCCACTTGAAACAGGAGCCTGGGGAGGGACATCCTTGAACTGCCAGTGCCTGCCCTGATGCAGCCTGCCATACAGGGTAAGGGTGCTCAAGAGCTGTGGACAAGGTGCTCATCATCCCCCTCCAGGCTCATTAATAGGGGTGGCTTTGCCGGTGTCTTGTCAATTAGCACAGTCAGCTCCCCACAGGCTGCACAAAGCAGTGCTTACCCTACAAACTCACTTCCCCGGGACACCCAGCAAGAGGAAACCCACGGCACACGGAACGTTTTACCCAGCATATTCAAAACGCACATCTCTTGCCAAGGACTGTTGTCGCTTCCCAAGAGCATGACAACTGCTTCACATTTCCCCAGAAACTTCCACACTGAAGGCCAGCACAAGTCTTGGGACATAAAATTAAGCAAATACTGATCAGTGTATACTGGAGTCTGGTCCTAACCAAGCACATGAGTAATCAAGAGACCATGTGAGGAGGGGACCTGCCAGAGGGTCCCACAGCAAACCTCCCCTGGTCTGTCCCACACTCTACCTCTTTGAGCTGCAGCTGCCCATCCTGATTGTGGTCCAGCAGATTGAAAATGTCCACCTGGCTGATTTCTATCATCTCCATGGCTTCCTCATAGTCATCCGTTGGTAGGATCTGGCTCTTCTGCAGCCCCTTCAACTGTGCCAGATGGACGATGAGCTTGCACTCCTCCTCTGTCAGGAAGTCAGGAATTTCTGCAGCGAAAGTGAGAGCAGCAACAGAGACTGAGGAACTGTTACAGTGGAACCCCTTATCGATAGCAGGCCCCTCAGAAGGAAAAAAAAAACAAACACCCATCAACAAAAAGAGGTGGCGGAGGAATTTAGAAACTGCCTCAGTTTGGGACATTCAAACACATCTACCCTTCCAACAGAAGAGCTCTCAAAGAGCATACACCACACACCTGAGCTGCTGGAGGCAGGTGTTTTTACAGCAGCAGTGCCTAAATGTTTGGATTTAGGGGTCAAGCCCTTAAAGTCTCTTGCAGATACCACAATGGACAAAGGAGTAAACAAACACACGCATATCGCTGCATATTATCACTTCAAAGTTGGCATGTGGATCGGAGTCTGGGAACTGCTGCTCTACAGGAAGGGAGGCCAAAAATCCTTAACGGTGGGCAGAGGTGATGGCCAGGGTTTCAGGCTTCCTTGCTCTCACATGGAGAGGACAGCACTGTGCACAAAATCAAATGCCTTTTAGGGGAACCCAGCACAGCGCTCTAGCATGAAACTCAAAGAGCAAGGAGACAACTTCCAAACTTATTCCCACTCGCTCCCTTGATCCCCCACTAAAAATGGTCTTCAAATACAATATTAAAGGGGAAGACACAGTGCATGGCAGATGCCACACTCCATACCCAGGTAGCATCCTGGTATCACCAGCTTTCATTTGCAGCACGACACCAGCAGCAATCAGGCAGTACCAGGATCCCAAGCAAATTTAAACGCAGAGAAATCCACCGATGACTATGAGGCTAAGAGTTTTCTAGCTGCACGGTGCCCTGGGCACGCACTTGGAAAGCGCTGGCGAAGTCCTGTTCCACAGCCCAGTTACACTGTGGCCCAGCAGGTTGAAATGATCCTTCTGGCTGACGTCTGTCACTGCTACGGGGCCCTTGTTACCAGCTGCTGAGACTTTTGAAGAGGGAAAGAAAAACCACCAAAGCAGGACAGGTTTAAGTGCTCCTAGGCCCAAGGTCCTGCTCTCCAAATTGCAGCCCCCTGGAGCTCCTGCAAGCATGTGCCAAGGACACACCGTATCTCAACCACAGCAGCAATCCTCAAGGGGGGGGGCGCGAAGTTCATTACTTCCATGACCTTAAATCAACCCTATCAGCTCAAACTGTCAATAAGCAATTGGTTTCTTGCTAAGTACAGACCAGAACTAGCCCTGTAGAAAATGAGATGTTCCTGGGAAGCCCCAGAAACACAACACAGCCGGCTGTATCGGCTGTATCGTGACCCCCTGCGAGGACACAATTTCCGCCCCAGGCAGCGCAGGGTCCTTGTGCCAGAGGATGCTTCAGAGCCGGAGCTTCCACCGACTGGTTTGAACCTCATGGCACGGCACCAGGTCTGAATGAACCCTGCGCGCTGGCAAGGAACGCTCCCAGTATTTCCAGTTCCCCAAACTGGGCTACAATAAAGACGGCTTTTGGAATCTTAATTATGTGCCGGAGGAAGGACAATCCCACTTTTCAGCGGTAGTAATGGGATTTCGTAATGAAGTAAAAATTCTGTTAACCGGAAAGCGCGCTCTGCCACGCAGGTTGCGAGGTGAGAGGGTTTCCAGCTAAGCGCTGTCAATCCCGTCTGCAAACAACCTGGCTCCACAGCTGCAAATTAGTTCCCCTCTACCCTCAGCTCTCCGAAACGGTTAACTTCGGGCTGTGAGACCATCCTATCTCTCTGCCTGCTCAACAATAGATCCAGCTAAACAAATGCCTCCTAATTGACTTTGAGCAACACTTGATTGCTTTTACAAAAAACAAAAGAGAGGAAAACATTGGGGTTTATGAAATAATGACTAATCCTGGAGCAAGAGAAAGGGGATGGGTTGAAGCACTGGTGTCAAACAGAGATTCAATCTTGGCTGAAAGAGCCCCAAGACACATGGGCCAAGTCATTCATCCCTCCCCAACTGCCCTCATTTCCACACCTGCTGATCTAAGCCAAACCCCTGCTAAAATCCAAACAATCGGGGCCGCTGGCAAATGAAAATTGGAGCATTGTCTTCCCCATGAGGGCTCTGAAAGGGCCGCACTTAATGAGGATAGATTGACAGAGAGGTGGCTCGCAGGCTATAAAAGGCATCCCACAGTCGGGAGCAGCTCAGTCCGGTGTCCGTCGCCCGTTTGCCCACTCCCAGCTTGCTCCGAGCATGGTCACGGCCCACCGCAGGCACCCCTCGAGGTCAGGCGGCCCATGGCTGCTGTGTCTCCTGGCACGCCTGCTGCTCTGGGGCTCGCCAGGAGCCCGGGCCAGCTACCTGAGGAAATCCTCCAGCTGCACACCCATTCCAGACCGCATGGCCTTGTGCTACGACATCGGCTACTCCGAGATGAGGATTCCCAACCTGCTGGAGCATGAGACCATGCCCGAAGTGATCGAGCAGTCTTCCAGCTGGCTGCCTTTGCTGGCCAGGGAGTGCCACCCAGATGCTAGGATTTTCCTCTGCTCCCTCTTTGCACCAATCTGCCTGGACAGGTAAGATGTTTTTGCAAGTTATTTCAGCTGTAGGAAGTAACACTCCTCGAGAGCGCAACTGCATTTGCCTCCCGAGAGAAAACTCGTGCGATCTGATCAGCGCAGCCCCCAAAAAGCCGTGCTGCCCCTCTCGGCAAGGGGCAATTGGATTACCCAGCAGGGACCTTCCCTCTGAAAATGAAACATGAGCATTTCATCTTGCAGGAGCAGAACCATTATGTTCCCTCTGGATTTTCCTGCTCTCCCACCCCAGGCACCGCTGCCGGCTCCCTCGGCCACCCTCCTCGCACACCCCAGTAGCTGCTGGCACCCACCAGCTTCACCTCCCACCTCTCCTGCAGCCCCCTGCCCCCAGCTCTTGCCCCGAACATGTAGGGGGTTTCTGAGCCCAACAGTGCCAGAAGCAGAGAGAAATCCTCAGTTTTGAGGTGCAGCCGCCAAAGTACAGAGCTGCTAAGGAAATTGGGTATCTAATTAGGCACCTAAGGTAAACAGCCTTTGCAAAAACAGAGAAGATCCCTGGGGGGACAAAGGGCTTCTGGCAGCAGCCTGTATCAAACAGCCTCATCCCTCACCCCTCCTGTCCTCAGAAATTCGTTGTTTGCTTCCTGGGCATGAATGTTCAAAAGACATCAAAGACCCCCAAACAGCTCTGCTAGTGCTAGAGCATGCAACATAGCCCCGTGCGGCAGGAGCGTGGTGCCAGGGCTTGACCCTCAGCCTGCTGCCAGGAGTCCAGAGGTGCTGCAATCCCCATCCCCTCCCCAGGCTCATCTACCCCTGCCGCAGCCTGTGCGAAGCTGTCAAGAGAAGCTGTGCACCCGTCATGGCTTGTTACGGCTACCCCTGGCCCGAAATCCTGAACTGCAACAAGTTTCCTGCAGATCATGAACTGTGCATCGCAGCAGTCTCCACGGATGAAAATTCTTCGAGCAGGAGAAGTAAGTTGTTTTTTTTTTTCCTCATATATTTTCCCATATGTAACACTGAAAGCTCAAAAGGATAGGCCTATGCCTTGTTTCTATCCCTAATATTTCTGGTTTATAGCTATATTTTAAAAAAGTAATTTATAAATTCTGGGTTTGTTCTCTCTGGGAACTCCACCATGCCTAGAAAATTAGCGTGACGTTGTATGCAGCTTGTTCCCCTCTCTACTGTATTCACTCGCTCCCTGGGTGCCATCAGAGCAGGCAGGGTTTGGGGCAGGGGGAAGGAATGGCTGTGAAAGCCTAACGCCCCGGCACAGCGTGACAGCTCATGGTGCGCAGGCTCCAGGCGGGGAGATGTGCGTCCAGCAGAGCTAAGGAGCTGCAGCTCTGATCTTCCAGCTGTGTCCAGGGTTTAAAAAGCATGCAAAAAGAAATGTTCTGCAAGCCTACTCTTTAAACATTAGGAAACACCACAAAGGGGCATGAGCCTCTGCAGACATGAGTTACACGAGAAAAAAGTATTTAAGACTGAAAGATGAAATTAAGCACCCAGATACTGATGAACACTGGGGGAGATTCAAGAGCAGTTAAGGGGAGAACAGACGCCTCACTTCAGCATCACTGGATGGAGTCTGGCCATACCAATGGCTTCACCGTTTCATCCAAACTAGGAGATCTTCATTAAGCATTTTCACTGCTGCTTTAACATGCAGCAACACACACAAGCCTCAACAAAGCACAACAAGCAGCGTCTGCCCCAGCCACAAAAAGGGGAGCTTAACATTTCCCACCCTGGCAGGCTGAGATGTCTCTCCAGGGACTAGGTCGCTCGGGAGGAAGCACCACTCAGAAACAGCAAGCCATCACTTGCAGATCTCAAAATTTCATGATGCCTTTTCCAGTGAAGCTTGACAAGGGTGTTATAACCCAATTTCTGTTGCAGCAGTGCCCCGAGCCAGCTGCAAGGACTGTGAGCTTGAGGAGGCCAGCACTGCCAGGGAAATCCTGGAAAACCTCTGCGCCAATGATTTTGGTAAGTCCTCTCAATTTGTTTGGTCCTCTCAGTTGCTGCCGTTCCCGCCAGCAGCCAAGTACTGGCATGGACAGAAAATGGCTTTGCCATAACAAACTGACTTGGAGGAACCGCAGCTTTTACAGCAGATCCCAGGGATTTTTCAGGTCCCAACTTACCTGTTAGGTAGCAGGAGGGCTCAGCTCCAGGCAGCACCAAAGGTGAAGACCTGCTTTATTTCTGCAGGCTCTGATTTGGTTTTGGTCTGTGGCTGCTAAATATAAACACTACTCTGGTTTTCCCTTGGAGGCCAACATTTCAATCAGTGCTCACAAAAACCTTCAGCAAACTCCATGTAAGCTATTTCAAACTTCAATACCATTGTTCTAGCAATGCACCTCTCCCTCTCCTAGCCCAAGCAGGTGGCAACACGGGTTCTGCTCAATCAGCTGGCAGGAAGTTTTCAAGATACTGCCCTGATTTCAGGCACACAACCTTCTTAAAAAAAAAAAAAATAATGTTTAAAATCCTGGGCAGCTGGCAGTCGTGTCACCTCCTGAAATCCCAGCTCAGAGAAAAGTCAAGTAATTTGCACAAGACCAGGACTTTTATGCATCCACTTGCTTCCGCCCCTGCTTCCTACAGGCTTTCTGCCCACGCAGCAGCAGCGCTGCTACACCTTCGCCACTCTCATGAGGAAAGCAGAGTGAGAATGGTGTTCAGTACTGGAAACTAACCTCAAATGAGAACTTTTACAAGTTCACTGCAATTAGAAGAGCTCAGATGGATGTGTCATCACATTACAGAAACAGCAAGAAAGCCTTGCGTTGGCTGTGTGTTGAGATATGAAAAGTAAACAGAACTAACAGCTCTTTT